AATCTGATCCCACTCGATGACATCGAGTTCAGGCACTCAGTCCATATGACCCAGGAAGGAATCCTAGCTCTACTGATCAACAGTTTTGGCTAAGAAGGGGCAACTCTGACGATCCCCTGGGCATTGGAGCAGTATAGTATGGGTACAGACTGCTGATGAGGTGATAAGGGCACATGCCACCTGGGTGAAATTGTGGCTCAAGGAACATGCAGGCATCAGTCAGTAAGAGGGCCTTTCAAAGTCATGATTGCAGAGCCTGGGCAGACACCGACTCGGGTGAGGAGACTTTGAGGGCAGGGAACAGTCACAACAATAAGGTCATGCAAGAGCTTCAAAGGGTAGATGTGGAGGGTGGTCTCCATCCCTAGCTCAAGAGTGGTGCCAGCCCTGGACAAGTGGCTCTTCTAAAATGGAGAGACATTTTTATAAGGCTGAATGACACCCAGGTCACTCCATTTCTTTACAGTAAAAAACATTGCCTGCTTGAGTTTGCCTTTGTGGGAGGGGAACTCTTCTCTGGGAGCAGAATGTTGTCTGTGGATATGTCTGTCCTAAGAAGCTTTCTTCCTGCTTTGTGACCTACCAGTCATTGCAGCTCAGAAACACTTAACTCAGCCCCAAACCAAATCTTCCTGACTCCTATCAACCCCCAAAGCCAAGAGTAGAACTGCTCCCTAGGGTGCCCCCGGGCTGAAAACATTGATGGGAGCAGACAACATCATTCTCCCTCGGAGAAGCTGGTGGGTTTGAACTGTCGACCTTGTAGTTGGCGATCAGACAGGTACCCCACAGGGCCACCCAGGCTCCTTTCTCAAAAGGAAGCCAAACTCCTCACTGCCATTGAGTCGACTCTGACTCATGGTGACCTTATAGGACAGGACTGCCCCTGTGTGTTGCTGACACTGCCACTCTTTACGGGACTGGAAAGTCTTGTTTTTCTCCCTCAGGGTGGCTGGGGGTTTTGAACTGCTGACCTTACGGTTCAAACCTGTGACCAGTACGCTACTGGGGCTTCTTTAGAAACAAATAACCATCCCCCAAACTGTACAAAAGCATGACACATGGAAAATCAGAGTGTCTCCTTTACTTCCTTTTCATCTTTGCATTTTCCGGGGGAGTCAGGTGGGTGCAGGGAGCCCCAGATGCTATTTGCACCCTGGTCCCCCCACGCCCACCCCCTGGATGGTGAGGCCTCAACCCTGCACGTCTGCCTGTGTGGGGGTTCCTGGAAGGCAGGGGGTGCCTTCATCAATACTTGACAGAACAATAACTTCCTCAGATACATTGCCCTGCACCATGGGGCTTAAGCCAGCTAGGAAGAAACCAGTGAGAGGATGCACAGGTCAGATCCAGCCCATTAGCTCCACTCCTCATTTGCGAGCAAGTTGCCCTTGAATCCGTCTTGACCTTGGCCCCATCGATTAGACTCAGCTGCTAGCATGGCCTTGAACCTGAAAGTCCTCAGAGGCAAATCCTCAGGGCAGCTGTGAGAGCAACAGGAGCTGCTAGCAGCTTCTCTTCCGCAGTTGTTCTGGGGAGTGTTTCAGAATCACAGCTTTTAGGGCTGAGAGCAGCCTCCAAAGCCTCTACTCTACACACTGGCCAGTCCTGGCTGGGATGGAACAGAGACTAGCTACATACAACTCTACAGGCAGCACCTGAACGCCTGTTTCCGGGGAGCTCGCTACACTGCACACACCAGTGAGACTTCGGAGATGGAAAAGGGCGGTCCAGGCTGGGTTTGTCCAGAAGCCTGGGTTCCGTGGAAGCAGGTTCTGAGAGGGAAGCTGGCATGCACGATGTCACGGAGCTGTTGCTCTCCGTATGGGCACCCAGGGAGGCGACGGGAGAAGAAGGGAAGGACCAGGACGACGCAGAGGGAGAAAAATCAGAAAAATCTAAAACGCAGTCCGACACATTTACATGTCCTGTTCCCAGCAATATTTTAAATTCTATACTATGGGTTAAATTAACGATACCGTCAGTAGAATTACATGCCCATGGGGATGGCTTATAATGTCCCCCAATAAAATAATAATGATGTCTCTAAAGTGACCAGGGATATGTATAAAACATAGACACAAGAAGGGGTTTTGAGCTCACCCTTAACCGTAGCCCCAATCTATGAACAATTAGTTCTTATGACATGGCGTACTCGATAACTTGCTTTCATGAAGAGATCACTGGAAATATGGGTGCTGTAGCAAGCGTGGCGAGGAAAGCAGATGGTGCCACGCTAGCATAAAGAATAGCCGCTGAGATCTTAAAAGCTTGTCTTAAAACAAGCAGCCATCTAAGTGACGTGTCACTTAAGTCCACGCAGAAGAAGCACACCAGCCTGTGTGATTCAAGGAT